TTCTTGAAAATAAATTTTTATATGTGTGGGTTAATTTCTGATTTCTTTATTTCATTGATGCGTATAGCCATTTACTCTAATATCACAATGTCTTAGTTACTGTAGCTCAGTTACTGTCTTAATTATTGTAGCTCTGTACATGAAATTATGTAGTGTAAAGTTCTCTGACTTGTTTGTTTTGAAAACTTTTGGTTACTCTAAGTCTTCAAAGTGACATAAACATTTTAGAATTAGATTGTAAATTTGTACAGAACTGCCTCCTGAGATTTTGGTTGAGATTGTATTGAATCTATAGATTAGTTTTGAGAGCATTGCTTTCCTAACAATGTTAAGTTTTCCAATCCATAAACATTATGTATATTTCCATTTATATTAAGTTCTCCCTAATTTTTCTTAGTAAAAGTGTTAAGTGTACAGGTCTTGCACATATTTTAAAAAATTATTCTTAAGTTTTAATGTTTTTTGATATTATCTTAAATGGCTTGTGATACTGTACCTGGCCTGCTTTTAAATTTTATTTGTGAACTTTCCAGTGTCCTAACATATCTCTTAGAGGAAAACCTAGTTCCAATATACGGTTTTATAAAATATCTTTATTATGATGTAAAGTCAGAGAAAAGGAGTGATAAGATGAAAGTAAAGTGGTCTACTAATGAGGTAGAAAAAGCAGTGTGATTGAGTGAGATCTGAAGAGAGAGCTGTTGTAGTTAAAGATTTGGATTTCTTGGTTTGTGTTTTAGAATCAAAGCAGGATTGGGTGCCAATTAATTCTAGAATTGGACATGAGAGTAAATGACCGAATAATGGTAAAAAAAAAAATGAAAGACTAGTTTATTGAATGCATTTTCCACATTGACTAAAATCATCCTGTACTAATGAAGTTTTTACTGTTGTAATTAATACTTTTGTATAGATTTTTTTCTTTCTTTTTTTTTTTTTTTTTTTTTTGTTATGGAGTCTCACCCTGTCACCCAGGCTGGAATGCAGTGGCACGGTCTCGGCTCACTGAAACCTGCACTTCCCTGGTTTAAGCAGTTCTCCTGCCTCAGCCTCCCAAGTAGCTGGGATTACAAGCCTGCGCCACCACACCAGCTAATTTTTGTGTCTTCAGTAGAGACGGGATTTCACCATGTTGGCCAGGCTGGTCTCAAACTCCAGACCTCAAGTGATTCACCTGCCTTGGCCTTACAGCTGGTGGGATGACAGTTGTCAGCCATTGTGCCCAGCCTGTGTATAGATTTTTTTTTTTTTTTTTTTTGAGATGGAGTGTCTCAGTCTATTGCCCAGGCTAGAGTGCAGTGGCACGATCTTGGCTCACTGCATCCCCCACCTCCTGGGTTCAAACCATGTTCCTGCCTCAGCCTCCTGAGTAGCTGGGACTACAGGCGTGTGCCACCATGCCTGGCCAAATTTTATATTGTTGATAGTGATGGGGTTTTACCATGTTGGCCAGGCTGGTCTGGAACTCCTGACCTCAGGTGATCAGCCTGCCTCAGCCTCTCAAAGTGCTGGGATTACAGGCATGAACCACCGTGCCCAGCCATAGATTTTTAAAGTCCTGACTGTCATTGGTTTGCAAGATTGATGAAGACAGGAATCTTCTTTCTTGATAACCAGAATATCATCAGTACTCAGTACTCAATAAATATTTATTGAATAGTTAATTATAAGAATGATGTCAGGGCTTTGTGTGGAGAATAACAGAACTACCTTTATTTCTTCACATCTGAGTCCTTAAGATCTCTTAATAATTCCTCCTTTTTTCTTTTTGCTACCCCCACTATATGGTGTGTCTCAATTCAGGTCCTCTCTGGACTGTTGCAAGAATATTTTAATAGGGTTCCCTGTGCTTAAACTGGCATTTATCTTACACTAGTAATTTTATAGTCCAGCCTCTACACGACAACCTTGATGATTTTTTATTTATTAATATTATTGTGGAAAAAACACATAACATAAAATTTACCGTCTTAACCATTCAAGTGTACAGTTCAGTATTGTTACATATATTCACATTGTTGTATAATCAATCCCCAGAACTTTTTCATCTTGCTAACTGAAACTCTATATTCATTAAATAGCAACTTCCAATTTTCTCCTGTCCCTAGTCCCTGGAAGCAACTGTTCTGGTTTCTATTTCTATTAATCGGATTGCTCTAGATAGCGCATATAAGTGGAACCGTATAGTGTTTGTGTTTTTGTAACTGACTTATGTTACTTAGCATGATGTCTTCAAGGTTCATCTGTGTTGTAGCATGTGTCAGAATTTCCTTTCTTTTTTTTTGAGATGGAGTCTCATTCTTTTGCCAGGCTGGAGTGCAGTGACATTATCTTGGCTCACTGCAACCTCCACCTCCCGGGTTTAGGGGATTCTCCTGCCTCAGTCTCCCAACTATCTGGGACTACAGGCATGTGCCACCATGCCCAGCTAATTTTTCTATTTTTAGTAGAGATGGGGTTTCACCATATTATTGTCCAGGATGGTCTTGATCTCCTGACCTCTTGATCCGCCTGCCTCAGCCTCCTAAAGTGGTGGGATTACAGGCAATTTCCTTTCTTTTTAAGTCTGAAATATACTCTGTTTTATGTTTACGTCACATTGTGTTAATTCATCCATCAGTGGATGCTTGGATTGCTTCTCACCTCTTGGTTATTGTGAATACTACTGCTATGAACATGAATGTACAAATAGCTCTTCAAGACTCTGCTTTCAGCTATTTTGGGTATATACCTAGAATTGGAGTTGCTGGATCATAGTAATTCTATTTTTAATTTTTTGAGTAATTAGCAAGCTGTTTTCCCTAGTAGCTATAGCATTTTACATTCCCACCAGCATTGCACAAGGATTCCAGTTTCTCTACATCCTTGCCAACACTTGTTATTTTCTGTTTATTTGATGGTAAAAGCCATATATATATATATATATATATATTTTTACTGCTTTTGTTATTTTTTTTAATTGTGTTTTAGGTTTTGGAGTACATGTGAAGAACATGTAAGATTGTTGCATAGGTACATACACGGCAGTGTAGTTTGCTGCCTTCCTCCCTATCACCTATATCTGGCATTTCTCCCCATGTTATCCCTCCCCAGATCCCCAACTTGTCCTAGTTACACCCGCTGCCAGAGACCCCAGTGTGTGATGCTCCCCTCCCTGTGTCCATGTGTTCTCATTGTTCAACACCCGCCTATGAGTGAGAATATGTGGTGTTTGATTTTCTGTTCTTGTGTCAGTTTGCTGAGAATGATGGTTTCCACGTATTCCACGGTGTATATGTGCGACATTTTCCCTGTCCAGTCTATCATTGATGGGCATTTGGGTTGGTTCCAAGTCTTTGCTATTGTAAACAGTGCTGCAGTGAACATTCGTGTGCATGTGTCCTTACAATAGAATGATTTATAATCCTTTGGATATATACCCAGTAATGGGATTGCTGGGACAAATGGAATTTCTATATCTAGGTCCTTGAGGAATCACCACATTGTCTTCCACAATGATTGAACTAATTTACACTCCCACCAATATTGTAAAAGTGTTCCTATTTCTCCACATCCTCTCCTGCATCTGTTGTCACCAGATTTTTTAATGATCGCCATTCTAACTGGCATGAGATGGTATCTCAATGTAGTTTTGATTTGCGTTTCTCTAATGACCAGTGATGAGCATTTTTTCATATAGTATGAAGTGGTATTTTATTGTGCTTTTAATTACATTTCTTTAATTATTATTGATCTGAGCATCTTTTCTATGTGCTTATTTGCTATTTGTTTACCTTCTTTGGAGAAATGTCTATTCAAGTCTTTTGCTCATTTTAAAATGAGGGTTTTTCTTCTGTTGCTGAGCTGTAGAAATTAAAAAAAAATCTAGTTATTAATCCCTTATCATGTATATGATTTGCAAAAATGTTCTCCCATTTCTATATAGATTGCTTTTTACTGTATTGATTATTTATTTTGACACTGAGAACACCTGGGAGAGATTTTAAAATCTTAGACTTTTTTGTTGTTGTTGTTGAGGCAGAATCTCACTTAGTCACCCAAGCTGGAGTGCAGTGGCACGATCTTGGCTCACCACAACCCTCACCTCCTGGGTTCAAACGAGTCATGTCCCTCAGCCTCCAGACTAGCTAGAATTACAGGTGTGCGCTGCCACGCCTGGCTAATTTTTGTACTTTTAGTAGAAATGAGGTTTCACCATGTTGGTCAGGCTAGCCTCGAACTCCAGGCCTCAAGTGATCCACCCACCTCGGCCTTTCAAAGTACTGGGCTTACAGGGGTGAGCCACTGTGCCCAGCCTAAAATCTCAGACTTTATCAAATTACTTTCTATGACCCAGAGCTTAAACTTCTGTTTTTTGGAATTGAACACAACCTGGTTTCTAACTATCTCTCTGGCTTAATTTTTATTTTTATACATATACAGTTGGCCCTTTGAGAGGAGTTGGCTCCAGGACTCTCCTGCTGATCCCCAAATCCAAGGATGCTGAAGTCCATTATATAAAATGGCATAGTGCTGTATACATATAACAAATGCCCTTGCTCTGTTTTCTGCCTAACAATTCAAACTCTAGTGAGGGAAAAATATTTGAAGTTCAGAAAGTGTCAAGATTTATATTATTCTTTCTTAGATGTTCTTCATATTCATCTAGAGAACCTCTATTTTTGAAAGATACCAGAAATCTCATTTCTAACCACCTACTTTCTTACGCAGAATGGAATTGAGCACTGAACCCTGTGTATAATTCTGTTACAGTATCTCAAATGTTTTCATTTACCTGTTTGTTTACCTCTCTGTTTTGCTCTCTGGACTGACAGTTCTGTGTCAGAGTTTTTGTTATGGGTCTTTTGTCATTAATCTAACTGTGGTAATCAGTGTGTGGTATGTAATTAAATAATAAATGTTTGTTAATTAAATAACAAATGTTACTGTTATAAATTAAATAACAGTAACATTTGTTATTTAATTTATTTACTCACTAATTAACGTTTGTTTAGTGAGTAAATAAATAAGTAAATAAAATAAACATTTGTCATTTAATAACAAATGTTATTAAATTTATGTAATAACAAATGTTAATTAGTGAGTAAATGAAGGTATTAGTTCATTCCACACCGATATGAAGAAATACACAAGACTGGATAATTTATAAAGGAAAGAGGTTTAATTGACTCAGTTCCACATTACCGAGGAGGCCTCAGGACACTTATAATCATGGCAGAAGGCAAAGGAGAAGCAGGAACCTTCTTCATAGGGTGGCAAGACAGAGTGTGGAGCAGGGGAAATGTCAGATGCTTTATAAAACCATCAAATCTTGTGAGACTCACTCAATATTGAGAACAGCATGGGGAAACTGCCCCCATAATCCAGTTTCCCCCACCTGATCCTGCCCTTGACAGGTGGGGATTCTGGATAATAGAGGGATTACAATTCAAGATGAGATTTTGGATGGGGACACAGCTGAACCCTATCAATGAAGAAATGAATTAATGTTAAGTTGGCGTTATTGAATCTCCAGAGTTGCACTAGAATAGACTTTAATTCTGGTTGCCTGCACTGGTAACTGTACTTAAATGATTTCTGGGAGAAAATAGCTCTCATTTGCAAGCTTCTTTTTGGCAGTCCTTACTCTCTTCCCCTAGCACCCAGCAACTTTGTAGCAGATCTTTGTTAGTGGATGGAGGTTTTATTATGGTGTATACTTTATTTGTATACAATTTACTTGTGATCTTAACGTAGAAAGGTTGTTTCTGTTTCAAAGTAATTTGAAATCTCTGTAAGGATGTTCATCAGATAGAATTGCTCATATTATTTTATATATATTTGCTATTGTTGTTATTGAGGGTAGATCACAGAGCCTGGGAAATAGTCCTTTGGTTGGTTATCAAAATTAAGCCAAAACAAAAAATAGTATATTTCTCCTTCTTCCATTAGAACTGTAGCTCTTGTTATGAATTCTGGTAATAAATTACTTCATTAAAGTCAAATAGTTTATGATGTTCCTTGGCAGGGAAATCTTGAAAATATTTTACTGTTACAGCAAATTTCACACTAAGTTATATTTCAAAAAGTCATTAGTAAAAGTTCTGGAAAAAGAACAGTCACTGTCAAGTGATATGCTACCAAAAGATGGATTGCTACTATTTTAGATGATTTAGCTGTGCTAGTTATATGGGATTTTTATGAGTTACGCTATGCATGATTTCCAGTAAAACTTTGATTTTAAATGTAAACATTTATTTAAATGTTTAATCCACTCCTAACATAAATACTAAGTTGTGTGTTCTTATAAATTTGTTTAAGTGTTAGAACTTATATATAGGCACATTCTGCATTGAAATAAGTGAAATAATTTTCATCCTAGCTTTTTGGTGACAGTATTTCTATTTGCTGAGTGATGAAAAAGTAATTAGTTATGAAATGAGATACAAACTATGATAGATTCTTCTGTAAATAGAACATTTCAAGTTTTATCTTGGTTCTTGCAAGAATATTTAGTACTTATACATGATTTTTCCTTGTGTTCAAATGTGCTCAGCTGCAAAGGGAGTAGTGACTCAGATAATTCAATATAGGGAATAGTCCAGAATTTGACCTTTAAATTGTTTTGGAATTTGCATTCAAATATTGATATCTCTGAAAGAGGTATGAGCAGCACTTTCCACAATATAGTAAACAGTCCAGTAATGTCTTTATCTTGAAATAAACTGCAGATTGCCCAACTGTTTCTTTATTATCTAAAACAAAACTGCCTTTATTTCTGTATTGTTGCAATTTTTAATCTGCTTTTAGTCTGGGGTATAATAATTTGGCCTTAAAAGATTTTCAGCTTTTGAAAATCTTCAGTTATCTCTTGCCTCTCACTTACCAGGCTGGCCTGATGTGATACCACCTGCTTTTCTTTATATATACATATATATATATTTTTTTCTTTTGCCAGTTTTTGCTGTAGCAGCACCTGCTTTTCTTTATGGACATAACCATTACTCTAAAATTTGAGAGTAATTAAAAATTATAGTCTATTGTAATGAACAAGGTAGACATTGGGCCATTTATTCATTTCTAAAACCTCTCTGAGTGTGTGTGTCTGCCATATACTAGCTTTTTTTTTTTTTTGTGGATAGAGGATCCAAAGATGATAGATAGCCTTTGAGAAACTTATATTTTGCAGTTTGGCAAGGAGGTGGTGGTAGGGGAGATAGGTAAAAAAATTGCAATGTATTGTCATAAGTTCTGTGATTGAGATAAGGAAATGTCATAGGAATGCGTAGGAGGGTCATTTAACCCAGAGTTTGAAATGTACATCTGAACTGAGTTTTGAAGGGTGAGTAGAAATTAGCCAGATAAAGAGGAAAATAATCCTGGAAAAACTCTAAGACGATGTGACCAATATAGGAGATCAGCTTTGGAATAAATAGTGGCTATCATTTATTGAGCTCTACCATGTGCCAAACTCTGTGATAGGAGTTTGAAACCACTTACCTCAGTGTAACTTGTGCAGCAGGTGCTATTATTCATAGTTTGTAAATGAAGAAACAGAGTCACAAGTTTCCTCACGTCATCACGTGGTTAATTAATAGTATTGCTAGTTTAAAAAACTCTAGCTTTTCTGGCTTTTTCTTTCTGTAGGCTGTTTTCGCCCAGCAAAGGACAGTTTCAAGATGGAGGAGATAAATAGTTACCATGCTATTGAAAGTTCACATGTGTAGATTAATTCTGAAAAGTGTGCAGAGGGATTTATAGTGACTTGTTTGTTCATTTAGGAGTATTTACTGAGAGCCTCTCATGTGCCAAGAACTGTGCAAAGAATTAGGAATAAAATGACAAATGCCAAAGTTGAGGTAGAGGGTGAAAGAAAGCGAGGACACTGACTGAAGCCATAGTTTGAAAAATCTGGATTGCAAAGGAAAAGATAATGATTGAGCAATACATTTTAGGGGAAGTCAGTAGTCTTAGTTTTTGTTTGTTTGTTTTTTTCGTATGGGAAGTATTAATACTTTGTTTATATGCTGAAGAGAAAGAGCCATAGCAGGGGAAAGATAGAAGATGTAAAAGAAAGAGCTTTTAGGTCACATGTTTTTTTTTTTTTTTTTTTTTTTTTTTTGAGGCAGAGTTTTTTTCTTGTCACCCCGGCTGGAGTGCAATGGTGCGATCTCGGCTCACCGCAACCTCCGCCTCCTGGGTTCAGGCAATTCTCCTGCCTCAGCCTCCTGAGTAGCTGGGATTACAGGCATGCGCCACCATGCCCAGTTGATTTTTTGTATTTTTAGTAGAGACGGGGTTTCAGCATGTGGACAAGGATGGTCTCGATCTCTTGACCTCGTGATCCACCCGCCTTGGCCTCCCAAAGTGCTGGGATTACAGGCGTGAGCCACCGCGCCCGGCTTAGGTCACATGTTTAATTAAGTAGATGGTGAGATGATTCTTGAATTTGTAATGGCTGTATAATTTTAGTGTGATTAGCCTGTTCTTGAGTAATGAGACTCGAATAAACAATGAAACCTCTTATTTAAATGATCGCTGTAACCTCTTATGCCCGATTTATGCATTCCTCTTTATTGTCCCTCAGTTATTCTGCCCCTACTTCTGTTTATCATAGGATTTGTTATACTGAATTAGAGTCATCGATATCTACCTGTTAGACGATATGCTTCTTGTGTGGCAGGGATGAGAAGAGACTATGTCTGATGCCACCTAACGACTGGTATAATCCCACTTCAGTAAATGCTTATTGAATCAGTGAATCAATGAATAACTTGGACTTTCTTATTTTTACCATTTTTGAACAATTTTCTTTTTGACTTTGAAGGGTTAAAAGGTATATAGCTACCCTATTAAGGTTTTGTTTGTTAGAAATTAAGTACTTAACACTTTAAGGTATGCCCTAGAATAGATAAAAAGAGAACGTTAAAAATTTTTGACGTTGAAAGGGTCTTGTTGGTTAATTTTTTGGAAACTCTGTAATGATTATTTTATACAAAGGTTACAATGTGCGTAAAATAATTTCTGATATTAAAGTATGGTAAGTAGAAATTAATAAAACAGCCTTTATTAATTTCTTTCAGTTTATGGTGGTTTGCTCGCTGTGAGATTTTTCTCTAGGCATAGTAAGACAGAAAAATAAAGAATTGCAAGATATAACCAAATTTTAATGTAAAGTATGTTTCTATTATTACCTTGGGAATAATGTTTTAAAATTTATCAGCACTCATAATTGTTAGGGCATTTAAAAATGACAGTTGCAATTAATAATGATGATTTAGTCTGTTCATTTCCCTAGGCCTGTTAGATTCTGTTTGCTTTTTATAATACAGAATATTGAAATTTATGCCGAAGTTATATGGTTTACCTTAAATATCAAAGTACACTTAATTAAGAAAAAAATGGAGAGTCTTTTAAGTTTTTCCAGATTTTTGATATAGACCTTTCTTTTTTTTTGAAATGGTCTGTCGGCCAGGCTGGAGTGCAGTGACGCAGCCTCGGCTCACTGCAGCCTCCTTTTGGGTTCAAGCAACTCTCCTGCTTGAGCCTCTCGAGTACCTGGGTCTACAGGCACTCGCCACGATGCCTGGCTAATTTTTAGTAGAGACAGGGTTTCACCATGTTGGTCAGGCTGGTCTTGAACTCCTGACCTCAGATGATCTGCCTGCCTTGGCCTCCCAAAGTGCTGGGCTTACAGGCGTGAGCCACTGTGCCCAGCCTGATATAGACCTTTTCACTCCTCTTGATAAGCTGTGATTTAAAGGAAAAATAAATTTCTAATTTTTCTTTATGAATTATACTATCAACAACTACTGGTTTATTTTTACTCTTGGATGAAATTAAAATTTCAATTTATATTTACAATAAGAGATACTTTCATAGAATCTAATGAGTTTCTTAGATTTATCCTTTTAGAGAGTTAAAATCAATTTATCAGTTCAGAGACCTATTGTAGTGGTATATCTAGAAGTGTAGAAAAAAGATATCCTCATACTTTTTTGTTGTTTTTTTATTAAGCTTTCGTTTAAAAACCAATGACAATTAAAAAAAATTAAATTTCCTGTGAATGTGGTATGTAGTTCCCCATAAATATGTTATTTTACCATTAATGTCATGGAGCTTTCTTGTTTCAGAATCCCGTCCACAAGATTCCTGACTCACATGAGATAACGCTGAAGCATGGCACTAAAACAGTAAGTTTAAAATTACAGGGCTGTCATGGAAAAGTGAACTAATAAGATACATTTGTATTAAGGCTAATTACACAATCAACTGATGACATAAAAGCTATAGACATTAAGGAAAAATAGATTACTTTTATGTTCAGTCAAAATAGCCATTTCCTTTTAGTTAAAATAGGAACACTTATTGTCATTGTTATTGTTGGCTTTAAATACCTTCTGTTCTTTAATATAGGAAAGTTATAAGTGGAAGAAAGAAATGAAACTCAAACACAATTTTGCTTTTCATGGTGTGGGAAAATTTCTCATTACCCTTAGCTTTACTTCTGTATCAGTAAAAGGCATGAGTTTGTTCATTTTTGAGATGAATGTTGAGATAAGAAATGGACTTTAAGTAGTTACTGCATGGCTCTAAGGTTATATTATTAATACTTAGTTTATAGATTGCATGTTTATGTTGTTGTATTTACTCATATTTAAGTAATCTAAAATATTTAAAGATGAATAATATAAAATATTTGAGATCTAAGGTGAAATCATTGTATCTTATTGCAAAACCACTAAAAGGCCAGGCGTGGTGACTCCCAGCACTTTGGGAGGCTGAGGCAGGCGGATTATGAGGTCAGGAGGTCAAGACCATCCTGGCTAACATGGTGAAACCCTGTCTCTACTAAAAAAATTAGCCGGCGTGGTGGCACCCGTCTGTAGTCCTAGCTACTTGGGAGGCTGAGGCAGGAGAATAGTTTGTATTTGAGAGGCAGAGATTCCAGTGAGCCAAGATCACCCCACTGCACTCCAACCTGGGCGACAGAGCAAGACCCCGTCTCAAAAAAACATTATGTTAAATATAATGGATTTATTGTTCTCTTAAATGAAATGTAAAATATTTAAAAATACTTTTGTTTTAATTTCTAGTGGAAATAGCTATACATAAACTCATATAAACAAAAGCTCTTTGGAGTCCTCAATAGATTTTAAGACTGTAAAGAGTCTTGAAATACAACAGTGTGGGAATTGCTGTGCTAAGAAATTATTTCCATCTAATTCTTAATATGTTTATTTTTTGTTAAATCAAGATTTCTTATATTTTTATTCTGAAATTGTGATGGAATTCTTTTTTTTGTGTTTTTAAGTAAATAAGAAAAAGTAGACAGTTTTTTTTTTTTTTTTTTTTTTGAGGGGGGTTTGCACTTGTTACCCACGGGGGATTGCCAATGCGCCGCGTTGGTGGCCCGCAACCACCTTTTTTTTTTTTTTTTTTTTTTTTTTTTTTTTTTTTTTT